AATGGGGTTTACAGCTGCTCAGATGTGCACTACCATCCCACTGCCACCATCAAAGCACCCATAGTCGGGTGCCCTTGACCACTGTCCTCCCTCCTCCCATTGTGCACACGCTCCCTCACCTTCCCCCTCCAATGGCTTCAATTCTGTAGTCTACATATGAGTGAAATAATCCAATGTTTGGCTTTTGCCTTCTGACTCATTTTACTTATAATTTCCTCCACTTCCATTGATGTGTAAATGGCAAGGGTTCATCTTTTCTTTATAGCAGAGTCATAACCTTTATACAGAGTAATAACCCATAATGTTATTTACTGCATAATATTTGATTCTGTCTGTCTGTCTCTCTATCCACTACATCTTAATTCATTGCTCTATGAATGAGCATTTAGGTTGTTTCCATACTTTCTATTATAAATAGTGTTGCAGTGAAAATAGAAGTGCATATATCCCTTCAAGTTAGTGATTCTGTATTTTTCAGGTAGATAATTAGGAGTGAAATTATTAAATCATATAGCATATCTTTTTTTTTTAAATAATATTTTGAGGAACTTCAATACATTTTTCCATAGGCGCTGGCCTAGTATACACCACCATACAACCTCTACTCCCCTCTTAGGTCCTCTGAGTGAGCTGACTTCTCTGCCGCTGGCAAAGTTTATTCCATAACTCCTAGATTCCTTTCTCTACTCACCTCCTGTTCCCGTGTAGCACGAATCTCCTCAGTATCAACTCTGTTTAGGTTTGAACTAGTTTCTACTGACCAAGGGTTAATCAATACTGCTTCTATCGAAGAGACTATCTGATGGATCAATGACCTGCTTTACTCCTCCAACAGTTGTAGCCTGTGGGAACAGTCTTTGCAGTTCCCTCTGATAGGGCCTGCCCCTTGGCAGGAATGCTCCACTGTCTGAAAGGACCTACTAAGTCTGATTTGTTCCTAGGGCTCTCTGGGGCTTGTTGACATATGAGGGGCCCTACCATGAGTTTTCTGTTACCATGTCCTGTTGTGGGTCTTGCTGAAGTCTGCTGTGGGCTATTGCCAGGTAAGGCTATTTCTAGTATACACCTTGGAGCTCACCAAGGTATGCAGAGAGCTTTTGTGGCAGGAGAGCTTCCAGATCCTCTCCTGGGATTTACGGAAGGATGTTGCAGTTTCATCCAGGGAGACTATTTCCAGAACCCACTTTGGAAGTCTGAGACCTACTGTGGCAGGTTTGCATCCAGTTCTGTTCTGGAGCTCACTGAGGTCTCTGAAGATTAGTGTGCAAGGGCCTTGCCAGTGCCACTCTGCTGCTTCCAGCCCCCTGGTATACTGGGGCTCACCTCACTCACCAAGAGCAGATGACCTGCTTAGCCTTCCCTATTGCCTTCTGGGGTTCCCCTCCAGATTTACTCCTGCCATCTGCTATAGTAACCTTTTTATTTCTTTCAGGAGTTACTAGCTTTGCTCTGCTGCAATCTAAGTGTAGAGTGTAGAGGAGGTGAGCTCAGCAACTTCACTCTGCCACCGTCATGCCCTTCCCCCAAGCCTGCTGCGTTTCATGAAGTGGGCTGTAGGTACTCTGTTTCTCTTCTTAATCTGACTCTTTGACTTTTGGGATTTGTGGAAATTCCCTGTATTTTGCTGTCTTCAGGAACCTCTCTTTCTTTTCTTGAGGTTGTGTGGCTTTTTGACATTGTGTTTTCTGAAATATCACTTGAAAGTTAAAAATAATACTTTAAGGGTTGCAACTTGGAAATGACTTAATTCCTATTTACAAAATAACAATTTGGTTATTGATGAGACAAATACAGAGGAATAAAGAGAACCTAGGAAAACAGTTCTGAATACATATATTTTTTTTAAATGTACTTATTTGTGCATACAGAACTGGGGTACAGGCCAGAGGCTCAGGGGCAGTGAGAGGCTTCATCAGAGACAGAGTGGGGAACAGAAGAGGCAGATCGACGAAGTACACTGCTGAGGGGAGCAGTGGGCGGGTCAGGAGAGGTCTGCCACACCATGTGGTCACCTCCGGGCAGGCGGGGATCGAACTCCTGCGGAAGTGGCTTTAGCTTCTTAGTGCTGTGCTTTAACCCACTGCGCCACCAGGGAGGGCCCTGAATACATATTTTTAAGCTTTTTATGAGATTGTGTGAGGTAGATGGACAAAAGATCAGAAGTCCATAGCTTTTTTTTTTTTTTTACATACAGAACTTGGGTACAGGCCAGAGGCTCAGGAGTGGCGAGAGGCTTCACCAGAGACAGAGTGGGGAGCAGAACAGGCTGACTGATGAAGTGTACTGCTGAGAGGAACAGCCGGTGGGTCAGGAGAGGTCTGCCACGCCATGTGGTCATCTCCGGGGCAGACGGGAACCGAGCTCATGAGGAAGTGGCTTTAGCTTCTCAGTACAGTGCTTTAACCCGCTGCGTCACCAGGGAGGGCCAGTCCATAGCTTTTAAATGGAGCTCTGGTTATTATATTTTAGCTAATTTTTAAAAAGATTTATTTATTTATGCATACAGAACTGGGGTATAGGCCAAAGGTGCAGGGGCAATGAGAAGCTTCACCAGAGAAAGAGCAGGGAACAGAACAGGCAGATCTACGAAGTACACTGCTGAGGGGAGCAGCTGGTGGGTCAGGAGAGGTCTGCTGCGCCATGTGGGTCACCTTCGGTGTGGGGATCAAATGCATGCTGAAGTGGCTTTAGCTTCTTAGTGCTGTGCTTTAACCTACTGCGCCACCAGGGAGGGCCCTATTTTAGTTGATTTTTATTTGTGTGGAATGTACCCTGGACTGAACTTAGGCTAACTGATATTTTGTCCAGAACATGGCATTATTTGGATATATTCACTGATTCACATTAATTTTAAAAGTTAGAAAATAATTGTAAAAGTATCAAATAATGATGTTATTTTAGACAGAGCAGACCTCTGCTTTAGTTTCTTTATTTACAAAATTAGGTGAGATTTTATAATATATATATATATATATATATATATATATATATATTACTTTGTTTACCTTCATGGATCTATAAAATCAAGTCAATGTACTGATGATTGAGTCTTGTACTATCATGAGTTTATGAAGAAGTTATAATAAAATTTGTAATTTAATCCAGTTTGAATTCTTTTTGGGTATATTGATTTTGAATTCTTATTTTTAACAAATTGCAATTTATAAGAATTGATTTTTCTATTCTATTTTGACAAAGACATTTTCACTTTAGACTATTTTTCCATGAACAGCATTGATTAAATATAGTGCATTTCTGGTGAAGCATTTTTCAGCCATATGTAGATGACACTGATGGATCTTTCAATCCATATTTCAAGAAGAGTACCCTAAATTAGTTACAATTTCCCATATTTGCAAGAACAGAAGAATGAAAACCTGATGATTTTGAAGTATATTTAGGTGGATAGAAATTTTGTGAACTCTCATACTATTCTTTCCATTATTTGAATATACTATGCATCTGAGCAATGAGTGATTTGGGGAATGACTCATTGTTCATTTTGAGGATGTCTGTTCCTTTCTTCAGTGACAGGTTTTCATAAAGAAGAAATTTCTCAAACCAACATCTTTTGATTCTGAAGGAATAATGCTGAAATATTATTGAAGTAATATTGGTTTATAATATTACATAGATTGCAGGTGAACAGCGTATAAATCAATACATGTCTACACTACCTTAAGTTCAACACCATAAAGTAATATGTAACTGTAATTCAATTCAGTTCTGTCATTTTGAACTCAGTCCTTTTACACAGACTATTTTATTTACACCCCACATAATCTCTGTAAAGTAGGTTTTGTTATATTTACTGTATAGATAAGACTGAAGTAATATACATAAATTACCCTATGCTATGTAGCTAATTATTGGCATAGTTACATATTTACCTGTAATTTTTTTCTAACTCTAAAGATCATGCTTCCCATATAGAATATATTAGTAAGGATTCATTTCTTCTGCACATGGTAATAACATATCTATATGGTATTACTAATTATACTTTATTACACATTAGAAGCAGAACTCAGCTGATACTTATACTTTAGGCAGCTCTCAAGATCCAGGTTCCTTCTATTTACTTTTCTTTCATTCTTTGTATGTGGCTTCCATCATCTTCATTGATGCAAGAAGACTGTTCTACTTTCTGATAGCATGGGTGCACTCCAAGAAGAAAGAACATGAACAGCACCCATTATCTTTATCTTTTTTCTTAAACTAAGCAGGAAAACAATAGTTTTTATGGAAGCATTTCACAGTTTACATAATATATCTTCTTGACCAAATCTAAAATTATGGCTATTTCATGCCCCAAGAAAATCTAGTCAATGCGACATAAAAGTTTTGTCACATTGAATTTTTGAAGATGTGTACTTTTTGCAAAACAAAGTTGTGTTTAGAGTATTTAGGAAGACCATTTGTTAATTTGGATTTTATTTTGTGAATAAAATAGCTCTTGAAATTCAGCCCTTTAAATCAGTTGCAAAACTTAAAAAAAAAAATACTATTGTGCGATTAAGAAATAGTCTAGTACTAGTGCCCTTCATGTTTTGCTATATACTTTCTATTCACAAAGAGACTCAATTGTAATAGTATTACCCTCAGAGTTTTGTCACAATACCCTGAATTTATCCTGTCAAAATATGACTCTTTTCTGTAGACATTTATCATAATTAGTGTCAACCAGTGAAACAGGTCCTTATTAATGCTGCTTTGTTAAACATAATTAATTTTAGTGTTGATGGAAAAGAAGAAATCTCAGTCAATGTAGAATGAAAGATTATTCAAAGATCTTATTTCATTTTATATAATTTGCTTAATAGTTGCAGTTTCTAGGAAACTACTGAGGACATAAGGGAGGATATACTGTATTGTACTGAAAGTAAATGAACTGATAACACAAGACACTCATTTCCTCTGGACTATGATTTTTTTCATTAACAATTTCTTGTTATTATTTTACATTAAAGTATTTATTGTTTTATTCACAAAATTTCCAGGCTGGACTCAGCACTGGCTTTGTTGATCCTTGGGGAAGGTGCTAAATTAAGCATGGCTTGCTTGAAAGCTTTAATGGATTTAATGAGAGATTTTCTTTCTAATGTTTTGTCTGCTCAGAAACAGGTAAGAATATTTGTCATTTTGGTAAGCAAAAAGACTTTACAGAAAAAAAATCTTGCCACTATTTAAATTGTATATCATCTTGGAACTTACAATGAGCATGGCTTTTAACAATAAATTTAATTAAATATAAAAATAAATGAGCATTTAACATATACCTAGGATAGATAGATTTTATATATACACTTGTATACACATGCATATACTTCAATTTTTTAACAAACAATATAGTTATATATGGTCTAGTTCACTCAAAACTTTAAAATAGATCTTATAAAGCATTGTTGATTATTATTACATATTACTATGTAACACATATTATTTATTACATATTATATACATTTTAGTGGGGGTGAGATAATTTAACCAGTTCCCTTGACTATTGTTTCTAATTATGTTAAAGTTAATTAAAAATAATGTTTGACTGATATTCTTATACATACAATCTTTATCTCTATTACTATTCCTTTAGAGATTCCATAAATTTAAATAATTGAGTTAGAGACTGAATTTTCAAGTAAAGTTCTTAGATGTCAAATTCTTCTTCAGAAGATAACATTTTTTTTGTAAGAATAGGAATAAAAGTGACATACACTGGAATAGAGCATTATATCAAAAAATATTTCTCAATATGATATAGGAGGTGTATCTCATCAGTTTAATTTACATCTCACTGTATTAGAGAGATTAAAGGTTTTTTTCTTAATATTTTTTAAGCCATTTTATTATTTTCATTTGAACTAAGTTTTTATGTATTTTATTCATGATAAATCTATTTTTTATGAGTCTATTTTGGAAATAATAGTTTTATTATGGTCATGTAACTATGATACTCAGACACTTATTACCATATTGTTCTTAATTATGATTTAACATAATTTATCTAATAATTATTTTCTCATTTTAGGAAGAAAGTGGCAAGGAAGATGACATTTCCTGGGTATGGAATATAGTCTACATATATACAACAATTCTAGCAGAAATCTGCTTGTATGCAGCCAGATCTAATTTGCGAAAAACTGCTTTCATTGGTTTCTGTGACTGTAAAAATACACAGAAAAATATATATTTTTCCATGGACAAATCAGCAGTACAGCCAGAGTTAATGGAAACAAGTATTTTAGGTCTTTTGGATTATTTCTCTTCAAAAATGTCAGATAATTGTAAGTCAATTAATTTTCAACTTTATTTACTAAGAATTATTTTCTTAAAACATTTCTTCTATGATAGTAGGGAATGAAATATATGTTACTGTTGTAAAATAACTGTGTGCTTCATTTTGACTAATTCAAATGTAAGAAAAACCATTAATACAGAGCAATAATTCTTTTTTAAAATGTAAATTAAAGTTAATTGGAATCTAGAATCAACTGAAACTTCTAATGGTACCCTATTAAATCTCCAAATACCCTCTTACCTTGGTGAAAGTTATTCAGAGAAGTGTTCAGTAAAAAAGTTGTGTTTACTAGATATGGCATATATTAGAATAATTTAAGAAGCTACATTCATATAATAGAATTCAGGTAATTCTTACAATTCACAATTCTGTATGTTGACAAATCTACATGTACACAGTCACTGATTATTATATACAAATAAGAAAATTAAATAAATGTACTTTTATTTTTCTTTTAAAATTATTTTATTGAGAAAAACACACTAAGACAAGGTTTACTCTTAAAATTTCAAGTGTAGGTTAAATGTAAACAGAGCTTTCTTTTTTCATCTTACCGGACTGGGACTCTTTGGTTATTAGTGACTTCTCATTTCTCCTTATGCTCAGACCCTAGCAACTAGAATTTTCTCTGTTTGATTTTATTAAATTTATTTTAGAAAACTCATATAAGTAAATTATAGTGTGTATGTGTCATTCTGTGAATGATTTCATCAACTTAGGACAGAGTTCTCAAAGTTCATCTTTATCCTATCTGGTAGAATTTCCTTCATTTCTGTAGGCTGTATAATTGTATATTATAGGTAGGTACCATGTTTCTCTAGCTACCTCTTGCCTGGCAGTTAGATTGCTTCCACATTTTGGTTATTGTGACAGTGCAAGGGTGGGCATGGAATGCTCATATCACTTCAAGGTCCGGACTTCAAGTCTTTTGGACAGGTAGCCAGACGTGGGATTTCATGGTCATAGTGTAAATTTAGTTTACATTTGTTGAGAAATCTCTAAATTGATTTACATAGCAGAGAGACCATTTTTTCCATTCCTTTCAGCCATTTGCAATCATTTGTTTTTCCTAACATTGTCCTTTACTTTTTTAATGATAGATATCCTGACAGATATAAGATAATGATATTTCTTTATTATTTTGACTTGCATTTCCGTAATGATTTGTGACTTTGAGCATTTTTTTTTTTACTACTTGTCATTCATTAGGTTATTTCAGTTCTGTTAGTATTCATTATATGCTTGACCTTGATGAGGATCTTTATGATAGTTATTTTCAGTTCCCTGTAAATCATATAATTCTGTTTCATTTGGTCCATTTCTGTAGATTTATCTTGTTCTTTTGTTTGGGACATCTTTAACTTATTATCCAATGAATAATCTTCTCCCAAACTGGTGTTTTCTTTCAATTTTTAATGGAATTTTTACTATCTTACATGACCAACATAGCAATTAATTTCATAATTATCAAAAATTATCAGACATTCTATAGTTGTTACAAATGAGATAACTTTAAAGTGTAACAGTGTTCAAGGATGAGTCATAAGAAAGTCCATAAATTAATAAGAATAGCTAATCAATGTAACTTCATTTGATATATTTATTTTTAGAAAGTTTTAAGCTGCAAATCAAAGAAAAAACAAGCCAAAATTGCTTTTATGTTAAATACAATTTGTGATGTCATATAATAATAATTTTGATGAAGTAATGTAATATATGGATTGATAAATTAAGCTCACGTAGATCAGGGTCTTTGTTTTGAGATTTATTAATAATTTTAAAGGTAAAAAAATGGAGAGACTCAGGCAAAGCACTGAAATACAGATATCAAAGAAAACTCCTAAGCAACACTCATACTAACGTGCAGATTGAAAGGTACCCCTGGACCTCCAAACCTGCTCTATAGGTTCTGATGTCTGCTAAATGCAGACAAAGCATATACTTGATGTGAAAGAACTCTAATAGGATTAGTGTGCAGAGCAAGAGAAGAAAGGATAATATTCTCCCAATGAAGCACACAATTTTCATCCCCTTGTGGGTAAATGCCCATCCAAACAGACTTGACTGAAAGTCCCCAAACTTGCCATAAGTCTACGGCAACTTCTGGTGGAGAATCATAGAGAAGTGAAGAAAAGTCGGACAAGTATGGTACAGAAACAGCAAAATCATCTCTCCCAGGTGCCTCTAGATAACTCAACTCCATGTGTCTCTTCTGTCACCCAAGTCTCTGGTACAAGTTTCAATTCCAGAATCAAATATTTGCTTCTTCCTCATGTGTCTCTCTACTCCATGTACTTCCTCTAAGTCTGTTCTTTATGACTTCTTTAGCTTTTTTTCTCTGCTCAGCTCTAACCTTCACTAGGTGGGGGGCAAGGAACGTGGGGCCACCCCATTTTAATGGAGATTACACTCTGTACCAACATTAGACAGACATTCTGATCCAGAAATGTAGATGAAGTATTTAAGTTGGGTTGAGTGACTTATTAACTTACATCTCAGGGTAAGCATTTGTATATAAAATAACTCTGTGTTAATCTTCCAGAGAACTATACATATTATCAGGCTAAGTTTCTCCAGGTTGTCATGACTTACTAAACTATATAAGTTAAGTTTTTTTCTTCATATATTAGTAATCATTTTCCAGTAACCCTATGTTAAGAAGGAAACTCTATAAAGTCTCTTTCTCCTAGTAAATATTCACCTGGAATCCCACTGACAGAAATTAAACTGGATTACATGGTTTTTTGTCTCTCATGAATGCTTCCAATAAAATGAGTGAATGGACCACCAGTTATCTGTTAGATTTACACCTCCTAAAATTCAGAGTTGGTTAATCCAGTGGCTCAATACAACACTGAGGACTCAGGTTCTCTTCATCTTTCTTCATTTTTGGATAATAGCTGTTCTTAGATTTTTTCTTCACAGTCTCAAGATGGTTGTAGTACACAAAATAAGATATAAGGGTAGGATATGCTTGCCTACTCTTTTGCTCAAAAGGATCTATAATGTGATTTTTTATACTGTATTCACCACTTTAAAATATAAAATTGGCATTTTAGTATAATCAGATTTTGAAGCCCTTACAATTATGTAATTTTAAAACATTTTCATCACTCCCAAAGAATCCCTATACTCATTTTTGAAAGTTCTGAAATATTTTTATTATATTTTATAGATTACCTCTACAATCTATTTTTTGAAACTGTTGCAACGGGAATTATAGTTTTCTTTTCACTTTCCAATTGTTTTTTTTTCTTTTGTTATTTTTTTCCTTTCAGTTAACTGAAGTAACATTTATTTACAACATTGTTTATGCTTAATGGGTATAAGATCACATCCTTCAATCTGTTACCACTCAAGTTATTTCATTGCTAGTTTCTAGAAATGCATTTCTGTATATTAATTTTATGTTCTTCAATGTTGCTGAATCTATTAGTTCACTTTTTTTTGTTAACACAATGTGATTTCTTACATGCATCTATGAATATTGTAATGTTTTCTTCTTTTTTTTTTTTTTTTTTTTCCTTTTGGGGGGTTTTTTTTTCCAGTGGTAAGAGCAGAAATCCCTATCTTGCTCCTGATCTCAGAGGAAAGCATTTAGTTTTTCATCAAGTACAATGTTAATTATGTTTTTTTATTGCTTTTTATCAGTTTGAGGAAATTTCTTTTTATTGCTAGTCTTCTGAGTGTTTTATTCTTGAAATTTTTCAAGTGCCTTTTGTGCATCTATCGAAATGTGATATTTAGTCTATTCTTTTGAAGTATAGTATTCATTAAATTTCAAATAAAAAATCATCTTCAATTTTTAACTCTAGAATTTTATTTTCCCTTTCATTTCATTGACCAGATAGTACAAATGTCCACTAACAATGGGAATGTAACTCTGTGATTGGTTTAAACAATTCAAGATTATCCATATTATAGAAATTCATAACTATTAAATATCTAGATAAAGTTATAATTCTTTATCAACACAGAGAAAAAGGGAAAAATCCATTGACAGATAACCCACTAAGTCACAGAATTTAAAACACACATTAATTAGAAACTATTTTTTTTAAAGATTTATTTTTTCATGCAGAACTGGGATGTAGGCCAGAGGTGCAGGGACAGTGAGAGGCTTCACCAGAGACAAAGTGGGGAGTAGAACAGGCTGATTGATGAAGTATACTGCTGAGAGGAACAGCAGGTGGGTCAGGAGAGGTCTCCCATGCCATGTGGGTCACTTCTGGGCGGGAATTGAACACATACTGAAGTGGCTTTAGCTTCTTAGTGTTACATTTTAACCTGCTGCACTACCAGGGAGGGCCTAGAAACTAATTTTTAATCTTTATATCTTTGTAGAGGCTGCATTCAATGCACCTGCACTCAAGGATATTGGTATTAGTATGTGTGATATAAATTGCAATAGTAGTATCAGCACTATCAGAAATATGGTTTGATGAATATAACATTTGGATCTAAGAGTTTCCAGTTTTGTGATTTACCACATTTCTGTACCTGAAAATGCACCTGTATATTTATATCAGAAAATATTGAAGCTGAATTCTAATACTGTGCTTGTTCAATGGATTGCACCTTGTATATGCAAGTATTGGAAATTTTGAGTCATGTTATATGAATACCTAATAAGTATTAGACTTCTTGTTAGTTATACTACTTCAAAAAATAGCAACCATAAAATTATTCATAAAACTTATTGCAGTAATCATCTTCTATTTACTCTAGAATGTTATATTATTTACCAGTGATAACTGTGGGATATATTTAAAGATAAGTTATCTGTACATTTGATCTGTGCCTCTAAAAAACAGAGTTGTATTTTTAAAGTGAAGAAGAGTTCAGAAATCCATCAATACAAAGAGTTGCATACAGCTTTTCTGCTTTCTTTTGGATATATTTGTAGGTCAATACTCATCATTCGTTCTTCCTTTCCACCCCTCCTCCCTCTGTTCCTTTCTTTCTCCTTTTCTCTAATTCTTTCTT